GGGCTCGTAACCTTACGTAAGATTACGAAGCGTAGGGTTTACGTAATACTTCGCATTATTAAATTTACTGATGTATAGTAACTGAAACTGGTAAAAAACTCGTTCTAATTTCGCCAGTTCAACATACTTGGGATAGAAAAAAGGGTCCTTGCTCCCGCTTACAACTTCCTGTTTGTCTTGCGTAGGCGATCACAGTGTATAAAAGTCAGGGTCTAACATTGGAAAAAGCCGTTATTGATTTAGGAAATAAAGAGTTTACTACCGGCCTCTCGTTTGTCGCAATATCTCATGTCTGTGCTCTCAAAAATATACTTTTTAGCACGTTTTCGCTTGAAAGGCTCCTGCATGTTAAAACTTGTAAGAGGTTGCATGAAAGAATAACTGAAGAGAAGCGTTTAATCTCTCTGATTCCTCCTCAACATGAAATTTGTTGATTATCTTTTTCTAAATTTTAGTCATGCATCTTTTTTTTTTGTGATACATTTAGTTTTTTGTGATACATTTTATTTTTTCTGTACTATATGTAATACATTGAATAAAAGCTTTGGACACTCCAACAGTTTCCATTTTCCTAGTATGTATGTTCTTTCCTTTATGCAGACTATATTCTAAATAATCCCGAGTAAAAAAAATTTTTTTATTTTTATACGATAGATGACAGAATTAATCGAAGTATTCAGAAGCTTGATTAACGATTATGAAGAAACTTTTCGAGTAATGGAGAACGGTACTATTAAAGTGAACAATGAAAGTTTCGAAAGGCATGTACCTTCCTATGGAGCTCTGTTAGATTACTTAATAATATCTATCAATAAATTTTTAGGGTACAAAATTTCCTAAATTGTTATGACACTCTTTTCTTATTTGATGGATTAGAAATGGGTGCTATTAATATAGAAATTATCGGCTACAGGAAAATCGAAAAGGTTAATTGAAACAAAAAAGAAATGGTGAAACTTTTGGGCTCAGCAAATCAACTTTACTTAAAATTAATCTAATCATTTCTAATCAGACTTAAAAACTATTTCTCAATTTTGTAAAGAAAAATTGAATAAATAGTTGTATTCAGAAACTGCTAAAAAAAAAGAATGTCACAGATTATGTCTCCTGCATCTTTAAATTGAAATTTAAAATTAATTCGCGTATTGCGTTTATCCCCAAAGTTATCCATGTTTCCATATTATCAGTACATTGAATCACAACATATTGTAAAAAATAGCTTTTTCGAATCAATAGATATTGGAACGAATTATAAATTATTTTATCATATTTATGATAAGAATGATATTAAATACATTCTTAATAATGTAAATCATTATTTATCCAAAATGACTAATAATGCATTGATGATTTCTGGTACTGCTATAATTGTAAAAAATAATGGGATTGCGTTCTAGAAAACTTACACAAATCCTTCCTGAATTATTCACGACTGAATATTTGGTTTGAATATAACTGTCTCATTGTACAATACATTGAAAACATTTTTTTCTCTGCCTGATTGTCAAAGACGCGTTTAACAATTATGCTAAAAAAAAAATCCAGTTTCATACTAAATTGATATGGCATAAATTTATACTAACAGATATCTACTGTGTATCATGTAGATCGGCTGATATGCCTCTATTGCAAAAAAATCGGAATAAAGAATATTCATTATGGATCGAGATCTGTAAAAACAGTAGATGATAAATCACCTATACTGGATTACGTACTGCCAATTCATCCCAAAAATGAATTAATGTGTAATTAGCCTATACAGGTAATTTGAATGCGTTAACGTCAGTAGGATAATAAAAAGTTATCGTTTATCTAAGGATTTGTAAATCATAGATTCTAATCGGCTCTATTTTCATTTTTAATTTTTTTTAACGTCACCCTGTCTTACGATCTGTATGTAAATCAGTGATATATTTTTTTGTTTTATAAAAATGATCGATATGAATATCAATCCTTTAATTAAAATTAGCTCAATATGCCAATCTGTAATTTGACCAGTGATTAATAAATTTTAATAATGATTTTAATAGTAATAATAATAATAATTATATAAATATAAATGATAACATAGATATTATATAGTATTATAAAAGAAATATTAATAGAAATTAATATAAGATAATTTTAATAATTATATTAATTCTAATTAAATAATACATATTATATGTTAATTATCTATGATTTTTATATCTTTAATACATATGACAACTTCCAGTTTTATTATTAGTAATTTTGATAAATTTACTGTGTTTTTATAGAAATAATAAGATTGTTAGTTATATAATCTAAAGCTTTGACATTTTTAAAAGTTTGAGAGTTATCAATTATTAAATTTAATAAATAAGTAACTTTAAGATAAAAATGTAATAAAAATGCCTTTTTAATAAAAATCCTGATTGTATTAATCAAAGTTATCATTAAAAAATATTGCATCTTCATTAACAACTGCAAGTTAAGTAAAAAATATGTTTTTAATAAGAGTAATAGTAATAATAGAATCTAATGTCTAATTCTATTAGTAATTCAACTAAAATTAAAATACTTTTAAAAATAAAAATATAAGTAAAATAATTATTTAAATTTACAACTACAATAAATAAATTACTTATGAATTTTAATATATTCTTTAGCAAAATAGTTAAAATCATTATTAAATTAGAATTAATGTTAAATTAAATATTTAAGACCTTAACTTTAAAAAATTTTATGTTTTCATTTTCTTGCCAATATAATAATATAATCTTAGCAATTGTAGAAACATTTTTTAAATTAGGATTTCTGTATTAGAAGAAAAGAACTTTTATTTTATCACATATGTCAGATATATGTTCACTTATTATCTATAGTCAGAATATTGATTTTATATTATATATAGAATTATTGATTAGAAATGATGATTTAGTATAAACAAAAAACTTACATTTGGATTGTCATTACTATCTTATGCTAATGATAAAATCACAATTGATGTTGATGTAATTGATATATTATAGTTATACCTTCTTACTCTTGATTAAAGTTTTGCATAAGTCAACTTGGCTTGGCTTGCCATTGACTCAAGCTGAGCTACTTTTTTTCAGTTCAGCTCAGCTCAGCTTGGAAGATTAATCGATAAGCCAAGTCAAGTCAAGCCAGCTTGCAAGCTAATTCATTCAACTTGTATTAAATATCTCAAAATGAAATTCTGTTAAGGAAAATGTTTTTCATTAAGAGAAACATTCCCAGAAAAATTCCTTTTGAGAGAAACATTTTCAGAATGATTTTCTGCAAGAGAAATATTTTTAAAATGATTCCTTTTGAGAGAAATGTTTCTGGAATAATTCTTTTTGAGAGATATGTTTCTGAAATAATTCCCTTTAAGAAGAATATTTTTAGAATGATTCTTATCAAGAGAAACGTTTCCAGAATGATTTCTTTTGAGAGAAATATTTCCAGATGCTTTCTCTTTGAAAAAAATGTTTCTGAAGTGATTTTCTTAAAGGAATTCATTTATAGAACATTTTCCTTGAAGGATTTCATTTCTAGAACGTTTTTTTTGAAGAATTTTATTTTTGAAACATTTTTTTTGAAGAATTTCATTTTTAAAATATTTTTCTTGAAGGATTTCATTTTCAGAATGATTTCTTTGAAGGATTTTATTTTCAAAATGATTTCCTTAAAGGATTTCATTTCTGAAATGATTTTCTTGAAGGATTTCGTTTCTGAAACAATTTTTTTGAAGGATTTTATTTCCAGAATGATTTCCTTAAAAGATTTCATTTTTGGAACAATTTCCTTAAAGGAATTCACTTCCAAAGGGATTTTCTTGAAGGGAATCGTCTCTATGGCTTTTTCTTTGAAGAAATTACATTCAGAATCAAAATCCTTTATAGAAATCACTCCAGAAGTAAATTTCTTTAAAGAAATTTGGCCTCAGATGCATTTTTTTTAAAGAAAATGTTACTGAGTTCATTTTTCTTCAAAGTAAATGTCACTGGTTTCATTTTTCTTTAAAGAAAATGTTATTAGAGCTATTTTTTTTTAAGTAAATGTTATCAAAGCATCTTTTCTTCAAAGAAAAACCTCCTTTAAATTTATTTACTTCAAAGAAGAAATGTAAGCTAACAAGCTAAGCTATAGCATAAGCTAAGCCAAGGTATAAGCTAGCTTGTCTGACTTACAGCTTATTTTATAGTAGCTCAAGCTGAGTCTAAATAAGTCAGCTCGTTTGACTTGTAAGTAGCTCAGCTTATTATGAAGCTCTATTTTTGGTAGTAAAAAAATATCTTGTTTATCAATATCTAAGTCATTATTACTTTGTATAGATGACAAAGTTATAATTGATATTGATGCAACTAATATATTATGACAATATCTCAATCTTAATGGTAAAATATTATTATCTTCTTGATTAAGATTATTAGCTAATTTAGATTGAAAAGTTAATATATTAATTAGAAGAATAAAAACTATATTAGACATTAATAGATGGATGTGATATTAATGTATTATTTAATTATAAATATTCGTAAGCTTTATTTTGAGATTGATATATATCAATATTTTTAATAATTACTTCATTATAAGTATTATTAGCATTAGTTTATTTTAAATAACTTGAGTAATTTGAACAGAATGAAAGAGTCCATCCTTTTAAATTAACTGACTTATCATTCTTATTATGATAAAATAATACATTATCCTTGAATTTTATTGCTGATCAATCAGTGATTAGATGACCAAATGCAATATCCATCCAAATTTTAGTTTCTTCTTTTAATTCTACAAATTCATCTTTTAGATTACTAATAGAAACTTCTGAATCTATTAATAATTCTTTTAATGCATTATAATCATATTCAAAATATGATTTATTATCATTCAATTCATGATAGTTTGATTTATAATTGTTAGATTCATGATCATTTAATTCATAATTATTTAGTTCATAATTATTCATTTCATAATCGTTTAGTTTATGATCATTTGATTCATGATCATTCAGTTTATAATCATTTAGTTTATGATTATTTGATTTTGTTCTTTTGACTTATTATTTAGCTTATGATTATTTAGCTTATAATTGTTCATAAATGAATCATCAATTTTACTTAATTTACTTTAATCTTTATATTTCAGTTTGTATACTTAATGTAATATTATTTTATTCAAAATATTTACATTATATCACAAATATTGCAAATAAAAATATATCATATTGGATTTGAACTTGCATATCTTTCTGTATTATAAAGTGTGTCTGATAAAAGGTCTGCTTAAAGGTGATAAGCTGAATCTAGTAGAAGGTTTATTTAGAAGTAGTAGAAGAGATTATATTACAATATTATTATTTTATTTTAAAATTGCAGAAATGTATGGGAAAAATGAAGTTTTAGTTATATTATGATTTTTTTTATAAGGTATAAGATTTATATCTTAATTACTAAGCAAACTTATATTATACTTAAGATTAGTACTTGATAACATGATCATTAAACTAAATACATTAATAATTGAATATCAAACATAGTAAGCCATATTATTTAAATTTTTTTTTAAACTCTTGTTTTTTAATCATTTTTTTAATTCTTGTTTTTTATTTAATTTTTTTTTACTTATTTTATTATTTAACTTTTTTAATTCATTTTTTTATTTATTTTTTAAACTTATTTTTTATTTAACTTTTTAACATTTTTATTTAATTTTTTTTAAACTCATTTTTTATTTAACATCTTTATTTAATTTTTTAAACTCATTTTTTATTTACTTTTTTAATTTTTTTATTACTTTTTATTAATTTTTTTTAATGAATTTTTAATGAAAAAATAATTTTTTATCATTTTTATTTTTTATTTTTTTAATAAAAAAATGATTAGAATACAAAAGGTGACCAAGAAATCAAGTTTATGACAAACAATTCGCCCAAATTTTAGCAAAAATATTACCTTAAAAAAAC